CGTTCTCCTATGCCAACACCATAGGTTGAACGTGACGTGAGGGCCTTCCGACTAGAAGGGACGCTGCTGCTGCTCCCCGTGCCCTCCCCATCCCTCACCTTCTCCCTCCCCCATTCTTCCCCTCCCCCCCTCTCCTCCGCTCACCCTGCCACCACAATCCCCTCACCCTCCCTCTAATTCGTTTCGTCACCCTGGGCAGCTCGTGTGTGCAGTGGCCGTCGGCGCTCGATGGGACGCTCCGTCGGTTTTGTGGCAGTGCCGTTCCGACACACGGTGGTGTGCCAGTCCGTCGACCATGACACGCGGGGTTGTGTCAGTCCGTCGACCCGCAGATGCACTACGGCCCAGAGAGTTGAGCCACAGCGGTTTTGACAGCCATGCGCGATAAGAGTTCCTCTTTCTTAAGCTGACATGGGGAGTTCAATTGCCTTTCTAAGATTTTCCAAAGCCAAACGAGATTTAGTTGTTAATGTCTATCAGTTTTCATGGATTAGGCGATGCGGGCTTGGCTAGCAAAATATTACCGCTAATTTCAAAGCTATTAACATGTCAGACAGTATCAGATACAACAGAGAGGCATCAACCCGTAAGGATACCGCTATGCTGGTGTCTCGAATCATTCTGCGCGCGACCGTTGCCTCCCTGGTGACATTTAAAATGCATTTACATTCATCATATATTCATCTGGTTGGAGTGTGTGGTACTGCGGTATCATACTTGCAGCAACGTTAAGCCGCCGCCAATCTTTTAAAGCCCTTTGAACCCGCGTGACAGGGTGGGCTGCAAAACAGTTCTTGAGGGAGGAGGGGGGGGGGGGGAGGGGTTAAAATGGCTGACAGGCGTTGTCCGTGTCAAAATGGCTGGTTCAATCCACATTACTGAAAAATCTGAGGGAGGGGAGGGGAGTGACCGCTGAGAAATCCCGGACTTCTGGCACTTTTTGTTTATGGAGGCACCATTTACCCCAACAACATGATGAGCCACGTATGTCGAATGCCTGCACTTGGACGCGGTTTGCTCGCATTGATCATCGACATGTCGTCGGGCATTCTGTTGACCTATGTCATATAGCCCACGGGCACTCAATGGAGGAAGTGTTGGGGGCGGCGAGTCACAGCTGCCAAGGCAATCGCCATTCATCCAGGGGTTACACAGCCCTTCCGCGAATCGATGCCAGAGACAATCCTCGCGGACCGCACCGCGGGCGGCCCTCCTGGGCTCTAGCGACGGCCGACATATTGGCGCCACTGTCGACACCACCCGCGGACCCGCCGCGCGCGCTGTGTCAGCGCGCGTGACATCACGATCCGGCCGTCCGCAGGGGTAGGCTGCGCCGCCCGGCACGGGTGCGCGCCGCCGCGCCGCCAGCCCAGCTTCAGACGGCCGGCGTCCCTCGGGTCGCCCCGCCAGGTCGATGCCTGGGGTCGATCTGCGAGTGGCGGCTCGGGGCGTGAGAGTGTCTGTGGACACGCAGCCGTGTCGACCCCATGACGATGTTGAAGTCAGGGACGGGGAGCGGAGAAACGGATGGCGGCTCGGGGCGTGAGAGTGTCTGTGGACACGCAGCCGTGTCGGCCCCATGACGGCGTTGGAGTCAGGGACGCGGACGCCGTCGTAACAGTCCACGACCGGCGGCGGCT